GTAGTTACTCTATCATGAGACAAGAAAAGGAAACTACATGAATCTGGCTTGAAAATTAATCACCATTCTATCTGCTAGGAAGCAAAACCTACTAATTGTCTAACATCTACCGTTGTCAATTTGCAGTTTCTTATATCCAATTTAAAGAAGCAACAGCATGGCAACCAGGCTCTGAGACCAAAAGCAGCTATTAGCTGAAACATATAGTTTTATCACTCGTTGTACTGATTCCAAGGAAGTAATCTAAGATCATACAGCATCATAGCTCTAAGCTGGTTCTCAAGTGACATCACCAACCCAAAGGTAAAATTGACAGAACAAAATTGCAAATAGGGCTACATATAAACTTTAACAATAAAAAGTGAGTCAGTGATTACATCAGATAACTTAAGAAACTATCCACGCTTTTCTTTTAATCAAAAGCTTTTGATCATTTCATAGATTTACAACAAAATTCAACACAATATACAAGGCAATAACAAAGAACCTGCGGAGCTAAGCAAGCAGAACCTGTGCACTCGAAGGTGTCAAGTCAGAAAGAGTTTCAGGTGCATCTACTACCCCCCATTGAACAGAAAAACTGCTTTTTTCCTCAGAGGAGTATCTTCCATACTGCCGAAAGATATGACCCACAGCAACATGAAGGTTGCGACCAACAACAAAGATCCTGAAACCATAGCAGTTGACAGAAAAAGGCTTGCATATCTGCTCTGGCAAAGGAGGACCTTCTACAGTTTCCCAAGAATCATTTTCCATGTCATAAACCTTAAGTTTTGTCCTTTCATGTTCTGAAACCACAAATAAGTGACCATCAATCACAACACTCGAACCAGTCCATCCTTCTCGCAGCCCTGAAGCCATACTATCCCAGACATTAGTCCTCGGATCATATATCTGACCACGGGGTACAACATAGAATGGCCAAAACCAGCCTTCAGTGACAAAAAGCTTCCCATTCATTACTGCAGCATCATATGAGGCCATGTTGGTTCCCATACTTGCAACAGGATGCCAAGAGCCTATACTAGGATCCAGAACTTCAGCAGAATTAAGTTCGTAAAGATCTGTGCTATTTCCTCCAGCCACATAAACCATGCCGTCAATCACTCCACTGGCAAAAAATGACCTTGCAGTAATCATCTTTTTCATCACAGTCCAGCGATTTTTCCGTATTTCATATTTCAATACCAAATTGAGAGGGCAATCCACATCAGACACCACGCCACCACAGACGAACAGAACACCATCACCAGGAATGGAAACACACCTAAATCCATGGGGACAGACCTTGTCTTTGCAAGGCATGGCGGGGATAGTGTGCCAAGAAAAGTGTGTCAGATCAAGGACCTGCCACTGAATTCTTCCAGTGCATTTGTGGAAGGCAAAGACAAAAAGCCAGGGCTCATGAAAACCGAGCTCCTTTCTGCGCGAGAAGAATCGCTCCTTACTGCCAAACAGTGAATGCCAACGCTTGCAAACAGCCCTGCAGTTTCTGTGCTCATCTACTGGAACCCGAAGGAGACAATTGAGAGCCACATCATCGGGAAGTCCCGGAATCAGAGACTCCCCATTAAGCGACAATTCTAAATCCAAAGAAGGATCAAGCAGAGCTGATTGTATTGCAGCTAACCTAAATTTTGGGGACAGTGTCATTTGAGAATCCCCCAGCTTGTGAACCGGAGCTTGGTGTGAGGAAACTCGAACTCTTTGCATCTTCTTTCGCTCTTTTAACTCCCAAAAAAGTCACAAAATTCCAACAAAATTTGACGACCCTATTCCCAAATATGTAATCCCTTTTAGGAAATCCAACCAAAAAGCAGTCTTACACAGAGCAATTACATGAGCAGATTGCCCAAATCGTTGAACAATCAGCCATACTGACAAAAATCATTCGTTATCAAGAAAATTCTTTAGGAAAAAGACAAACCCAAAAATCAGGGGGTCCAGCTACTCCCAAACACCATTTTTCTTACCGACTTTTAAGCCTTTACAAAAACAGAAAGAATTTTAAAAACCCACAAGAAAAAGCAGCTTAACATGCCATTTCTGTCATCGTAATCAGCATCAAGAACTTAAAATAGTTGAATAAAGAAGACCCAGTTTACAACTCAAAGAGATGTGGCTATCATGGTTCACAACACATCAAGAATGGTTGATGAGGATGCACAAACACTAAAACATGTAAAAGTTGTCTTTAAGGCAGATGATAAAACAAAAACCCCTAGAGCTGCGGAAAAAAAGGGATTACATAGGCTAAAAGAAAGTTTAAACAAGAACTTACAGATTATAAAATTGAGGAAAGCTGCGGAAAGATTGAGACTTGATAAGAACTTCAGCAACTTGTTTAATTAATTTGCACAAGTTTGTTCGTTTGTTTGACCACTAAAGACCACTCTTCTCCCCAACAAATGTTAGTTTATTCTTGCACCAGCCTCGGAGGAAATAGGATGTGGCAGACACGGCTTCGCGTTTCCGTGTGAATTATATATACAGAGTGTTCTCTGGAGTGCTCGACAGTGCGCTACTACCATGTCACGATGGGGAGAGCTGGGCTTTGACATTTTGACCATCCGAAACTCATTAAGTGCCTCTCATGTGTTTCATTTTTCTGTTTTTCACTGTTTTGGATAATTGTTCAATTTTTGCCATTTTGGTGCACACTACATGTCAAGCGGTTTTTCATTTTTCTGTTTTTCACTGTTTTGGATAATTGTTCAATTCTTGCCTTTTGTGTGCACATTACGTGTAAAGCGGGTTTTTCTAAATTTTTGTCATTAATATATCTAAATTTTACACAATCTATTATCACACCCCTTATCGAAAAAAAAAATTATCACACAACTTGCCATGTACTGAATAATTAACACTTTTTCTTGTATTTATACTGGTAGGTGTGGGCTGTGCAATGCATAGCCAGTGCCCAATGGAATGAATTCATTGATAGTAATTGATGAAACAATAGCTTTGTAGTAGTTATGGTTATATTTTTTACAGGAAATAATAAGTTGTTTTTGTTGAATTTATTAGTAATTGCATTGTATAGAAGTAAATTCACATTTGTTTCTTTTTGTTTAACTTGTAAATACAAATGTGTATTGTTGGAAAAATATATTGATTTCTATAAACTTTTAGAATGTTTTGGTTTTAATTATGTTGTATTGGTGATAAGTTATTCAAGGAGGAAGTTACACACCTTGTGATTTCTATTTTACGAAAATTACCAGGAAGGAAGTTATGAGAACAAATAAAATGAATAAAAGCTTCTGAGTTTTAATCTACTTTGTCAAATGTAGTCACTTGATTTTTTGTTGTCAAAATTTTCATCTAAATATGTAGTCAATGATAAGTAAACAACTCCATTGATTCATGGTCCAATCTAATGGTGAATGCATGATGAAATTACACAGAACAATTGATCAAGTGGTTGAAATTTATACAAAAAAAAAATTGTTGAAATTTATACAAAGAACAACTGAACTCTTAGGTAAATGGTAAACATCTAACCGTAAAAAGTCGTTGAAAGAAGTAAAACAATGACCTATGATTTGTAAAGATTCGTTGTACAACAAAAAAGTGGAAACTAGGAATGATATGTATAAAAGAGTGGCCAACTGTTTTGAGTTTTACCAAAATGGATGAGTAAGTTGTTTGACCATTGAACCGTCAAACAATTACAAAAGGAAAGCAATCAACCACTACAAATCTAATGGTCCAAGATATCAAAATTATATTTTTAAAAAGTGAAAAACCTCAAATAAATAAAAACCTTAAAATTTGCTTTGTAATTAAATATGGCTTGGCTAAAATAATTCTTAGACTGACTATTTCATTTTAATTATGTAAAATAGATTATACACGTCTTCGCTACCACAATGCTTTTATAGTCTTATTGCAAACAATATCAATTTTTCCATATTCCTTTTTAAATATTTATTAGAGACATTATTTATACATCTTAATATTTTTCCCACACCATAAAAATATATGTTTTATCATATTTTTTTCCAATAAATCCAAGACAAATAAAACCTCAAAAATTGCTTTCTAAATGAATAAAGCTCATAATTGGCATATTTGTTTTTATTTTTATGCCATCAATTAAATCATCTCTTACCCAATTTCTTTGCAATATGAAAAATTTATCAATTTTTGTATCTCTTCTTGCCAGTAATCCCAAAGAATAAGGAGAGTGTCTATAAAATGAAAGAAAATTACAAATTGAAGCAAGCGATGCACTTGTATATGCTTTGTAAATAATTAATCTAACATTTAAACCTCTTGTCATGATGTGTCTACTCTCATTAAAAATATATCAATTTTGGTATTTTATTTTCCCTCAAAGTCCAAATAATTTTAAAAATCTATAGAAAAATAAGATTTCATTCCGAATATTAACCTTGCATTTACACTTAAATTTTCTATGCTTATACATTTATTCAAAGTAATAATTGATAAATTTATTTTTTTGAATTAAACATATTAATATTAAATATTTCTCAATTAATTATTTATTCTTGACTAAAGAGGCAGTAAATAATCAGCTATTATGGCTTGATCCCTTACTGTGTATCATGATCTGTTGAATTTTGTATTAAAAATTAATAGAGCATAATATAGTTCATAAATACATTTGTCATTTAGGTAAAAGTCTAGAATTGTATTTCAATTTTGTAGTTTCAAAGATATTGACATAATTTAGATCCTACTTAAAATCTCAACATCAATTTTTTCAAGAATCCAAAGCCAAAAAGGAAAAAAAAATACTATAATGATTGGTTCCATTATATATGCTAAAAACTAATGGAGCTGAGAGCTGCAATCATCCGAATCTGTAAGAAGAAAATTGTTTAAAGGAAGTTAGAAGATTAATAAAAGGGAGAAAGAAGAATTAAGCATACAAATTCATCATTTGAGTAAAATAACAGAATTTAGAAACTGAGCACTGGTTCAATATTAAGATCTTTTCTACTTTCCCACTGCCAAGTAATTCAGCAGGTTGTCATAAACTATCTAGTAGTGCTATATCCTAGACAACTATAAATTGAAATACTAATTGCCCCCTAATTAGATTGCTAACTTGCATTTACTCCATCAAGTTCTTTATGAGAACGCCATCATAAAGGATCTTGAGCATTGATATGAAATTTTGGGAACATCTTTGTGATCTTCATTTGGGATGGCTAGCAAAATTTGACCTCCAACCTCAACAGTGTATGCTTTGATAGTGTTGTTCTTCACTGTGCTTTTGTCCTTGGATTTTCCAAATTAAAAGCATGGATGAAACAAACCATTGTAACCCCCTCAACATGAGAGGCTAGTTTAGCAAAATATGTAGCATCCTTAATTTCATTAGTGAACTTTGTTCGAAATATTTGTTTGAAATATTTAATCAACAATTACATGTTGACTGTGCAATTTCCAATTGTGAAGCAATATAGCTTTTTAAAATCCAAAACTAAGGTAGCATTCTAAAATTTTAACAGATAAGCAGATACGTTAGATACAAATAACTTATTAAAGCATACAGAGTCATTTTTTTATGGCAGCCTCAGTCAAAAACCAAATAGTAGAAATTTATAAGTCACTTATGCCTACGCCATAACTGAGACAGCTTATCTTTTTCAATTATTTCCAACTGACCAAAAGAGTGCTCTTATAAGGCTTTAGGATATCTTAAGAGTCAAGATCAAAAGCTCTACATGAATTTGTAAGGGTAAACTTATGATAAAATGTCATACAAAAGAATTAATCCAATAAGCAAAACTTAAAGCTATAAAATGGATCAAATAAGTTGAACAAAACCTCATTAATTCTTTAAGGAAAAATACGACTTTTTAGTATAATATTTCAATCCTTTCCTACAATTGTTCTTCTAAGAGCATTTAAGCACATTTATCAAGTTGCACTCATCATTATGCAATAACTCATCAAGTTATAGCTCATGGAGTTGAACTTACTTGGTCATCAGCCAGCTAGATGAAGAGCGGTATATGATAACAATTTCTAAGCATATGGACTGAAAATTGCAGCATGTAAAGATCCTGTTACATCATTTACCACAAATCCCAAGCGACACCTATCGTATTTTGCCATTACATGAAGCAAATTAGAAGCTATATTGTTGTAAATGATTTACTAATTCTAGCATTAGAAAAGTAAATAATAACATTTACCTCGCTTCAACTCCAGTTTCTTCCTTGCATGATGGGCATCTAATGGTACATTCTATCTCAATTTGGATAGATTTTTGGGTCTTAAGCCAAAAGTTTCTGAGAAAAAATCAGCCAAAACTTGACATTTGTAGCAAAACTAAATTGAAACTCAAAAGTCTTAAGTCAACATGTACCAAAGCCATGGTTAAACATGCAAGTTCTATGTCTTTAAAGCAATGGGTGTTATTATAGGGTACTATTAAGTTCAAGCTTTCACCATAAGAATATGAATTTCAATTTGAATCATAATGAGTTCATAAAGACTATCATTTAAATAATGAAATAAGATTATTAAACAAATTAATTGGACAACAGTGGTTCTCATTATCAATTTAGCAATTTTGCCTCTTGGGCTCTTGTTATCAACAATACATAAACCTTTCTGTTTTGTTACTCCAACAAAACACAATGAATTGGAAATTAACAAAAATTTAAGAGTTCATTTATTTCCTATGATGTTAAGCAGCAGAGGAAAGGAGAAAAATTTACTTAGCAGTAGGGGCTGTAGCATACCATTAGCAGTAGAAACCTGGGGCTTCTTCTCTTGAGCTGGCTTAGATGACTAAGGGACAATTTCTTTTCCAACCCCAGAACCCACAAAAGTTTCCTGACTTCTGCTCTCAACTCCACCAGCTCCAATACTCTTGACAAGCCCATTAGCACTCCTAGGAGAGAATAAGCCACCACATTAGCCAAGTTCATCTCAGATCCATCATTCCCATAATAAATTCACTTGCCAGAATCACCGTTAATGGTGTCAGCAACATCCCCTTTGGTCCCTGAAATTAAACTCTTAAATACACCAATATGTGCAGAGATAACAAACTAACAATACAAAATTTCTAAGATATGTGCATATGATATATCTAAGATACATATGACGTATCTTAGAAATTTTATATTAAACTTTGGAATACAATACATATGATATATCTAAGATATGTGTAGAGATAACAAACTAACAATACAAATTTCAACTTCTACAGTTGGAAATTCTCAATCGTATGCTATATTACATCAGCACCATAAGAATTTATGTGGTAGCGCTTTACCTGGACAAAAGGTAACCATAAGTTTTTAAGTTATTATATGAAGATGAAGTGTACGACATACTTGAATCGGCAACTTCTACATCACAAAAAAACTGTAAACCATGTTTCCAACTACTAATCTACTAATAATCAACTTCTTGATAGGATAATTTGTGCCCTAAAAAAAATGTTGAAAAGGAAAGATAAGGTGCCCTAAAAAACATAGAAGGAATTGGCCGTAGAGAAAAAAATGATATAGACCGGAGTAGAATTTACCTGTGCGATCATTCTCTCCGTGTTTTCTCTGCTATCCCAAGTTTTACACAGACATTTTATCAAACACTTGATGGCCATTGGTCTCTGAGATTTCACAAAACCTTGACTTGCTTGAATAGATATGTTTGCTAGATAAATCATCTAATAAAAAAAAAGAGAAAACAAGAGAAAATCAGCTCGAATATCAGAAACATCATCTAATAAAAAAAATAAGAGAAAAAGAAAGAACAAAATGGAGAACATCTGATAAAAAAATTTAAAAAAATGAAAAAAAATGAAGAAAAAATTCATTGACACATATATTCACATTTACCAGAAAAGAAGAAAAAGGAAATTTTTGTACTAAAGTTAGGAATATCATCTAATAAAGACCTAAAAGGTGAAAATAAAATTCAAAACCAAAAGGGAAAAGAAATAAATTCTTACTTTTCCTGCAGCCCTTTCTCCAGAACTCTTTCTTGCTGGAGTTCTCTTTTCTTCTCCTCTATTGTACGCAATATCACAAAATGTAACGAAGGAGAAAAAGTGCCAAAAAGTAGACTCAATCTATGAAACAATTGGTGGTTTCCATGGCAATAATTAACACTGATAGGTTATGTGTATTCTACAGTGGAGAATGAAAAGGTTATGGTGAAAAAAGGATACGGAGAAAGGAAGAAGCTTACCTCTTCTTTGCTTTTTCTGACCATGCATAGGAGCAGTTCAACTGCTATTCTTGATTGTCTGACATACAAAGGAAAGGAATGGGAAACATAGCCAAAGAGATGAGAAGAATGGTAGGCAAAAAGTCACAAATCCTGAATAGTTAGCTATTGTTTTGAGAGCCATTTTTTCTCACTGAACAAAGCAGTAATTTTACATAAAAAGACACAAATGGCCTCAACAGTGGTATACTGTTCGCAAAAGTAGTCAACATTATGAGGCCATAAACGGAAAAAAATTTCTCCATGGTAGACTCCCTCCCCAGAGTCAACCACATGGTTCAGTGTGGTAGAAGAAGTCTTAAGAGCTTGTCCTTCTAGCAGCAATATGGCAGCTTGGGAAAAATCTACAATAAGAAGCAACTGGAACTTATATTATAGTTAGATAGATGTTTTCCTTGATTAACTTTACCTTTTCAAAATATAACACTTAAAATTCATCTGAATGAGTGTCCAATAGACACTTGTTTTGGATAATTATTCAATGGACACTCGTTAGATGTACCTTTTATGAAATCTTGGGCACTCTATATGGCCAAGATTGGGCTAAATTTTAAATTTCAAAATTTGTATAACTACAATAGCAAAAGTTTTGTAACTTTAATTGCCATTTGTTATATCACAAAATATTATCCTATAATTTTACATTCCATAAAAAAAACTGTTTACAAGAATGAAAGATACAATTTATAAATTTAATATGCTTTGTGAATGTTTTACACCATTTTGGGGTTATTATGGTTACAAGTATCTTCGGGGAAAAAGCGCCGTTATGAGGTTTTAGAAATTAGGAAAAATGCATTTTTCATCCTCAAAGTTTGTGTTGATCATTTTCGTTTCCAAAGTTTCACCAAGAAAACATTTCATTCTCAAAGATTTTGAATTTTGGCTAATTAAGGACAATTGACAGAACAAGATTCAATTTGGACAAAAAGTGGCACGTGAGATGCATGTCCCATCAAAACCAACTCTGTAACAAAAAATGGGTCAAATCCAACGGTGTCATTTTGCAATCAATGAAAAAGGGGGTAATACCAATCCTTTAACACTTTTCTCCTTTTCTCTTCTCTCTATAACCCTAAAAAGTTTTGACAACCATCTTCACCCTCCTAAATTCGATCATCTATTGGCTAGACGATGGCCATAAATGGCCTCCGTGCAGAATCCAGCCAATGAGAAGCAAAAGTTGTGACGACCCCACCTCCTCCTAGGGCGTACACCAGGGTTTAGCGGACCGCTTACCCAACTCTCGCTAGAACTCACTCACTCACGTCAAGAAAATAGGGTGCAACCTCAAGAGTAAAGAAAATAATAGCTTCCAAGTTTGGAACATACAAATACATTCATTTCTATCTCAAACATCCATACAATCCCAAATATATCAAAAGATTTAAGTTCTCAATACATTCAACCCTAATCGAGCGACTAGTGCGAGTATAATTACAAAATTTTCAAAAACAAGACCAGTCTCATGCCTCACTCGTACCCCCTGTAAGGAAAACAAATAGCATGAAATGAGCTAAAAACCCAGTGAGGTTCCAACTAGCAAGTTGACTATTATTTAAAAGTCATGTATCAAAGTAGCAAAGTAGCGAGCATAACCAGTCCATAAAAGTGAACAATAACACTTCAAGTAGTAAATCTCAAAATAAGCGAGTGTAAAATTCTTTTCTAAAAGAAACAAGAACACTACAAATAACAATCAAAGTATAAGGATACAGATGACTCTCAGGAGCCAATTTCCCATTGCTTCACCAGAGCTTGATCAAGTATTAGTTGACACTCAGTCAACTTTCAAGTAAAGTAACCAATCCAGTAGTGCTTCTCTTAACACCAATCCGTCCACCATTCAACCCCCTTACCGGGTCCGAACACCAACTAAACACTAGTGGTAGTATTCGAGCATACCGATTAGTTGAGAAGATAACACTCCACTCGACAAAACAAGAGACCTATGGTTCATTATCTAATCGACCAAACCCTTGCCGGCTCGACTCGATTAATTAGCCAGTGGGGTTTGGGTTCCCAAGTAGTCACTATAGTCGATGACCAATTGACTTAGTCAAGAGAAAAGTATGGAGACAGGAATGAGAGGTACCTCCCACTCGTATTGAGTGTGGTACATACTGCAACACTTACAAATCAAGCACAAGTACAAATACAAGTACAGGTCAATGCAAATCAAGTCACTTGTACAAGCATGAATGAGATATCAAGTGATTAGTTAAGTTAGGTCAAGTGCGATAAAGTACACACTTGCCCGACCAACCCAAGCAAATCTTATCCAATCACGTTGGTAAAGAATTTAATCAGGTATCAAGTTTAATCATGTATTTGGAATCACTCACCAAAGGTCTAGGGTTTTTCAAAATCACGTTCAGGTCCAACTCCTTGGTTGGAGTCCAAATCTGCGACAACATATCATTTAAAAATGTAAAACTCTCTAGAGTTCGAAACATAGGAGTTATATCATTTAAGAATGTAAAACTCTCTAGGGTTCGAAATATAGGATTTTCGTTTCAGAAAATCAAATAAATGAAACTCATTTAAGTAGTATTTATTTTACTTATCACACCCTAGAACACTCATGCTTGCTCTTTTAGTTTTGGAAGCGGTTAAAACATTTAAGTTCGTAAAGTGGCTAAAAAAAACGAGGAAAACATATTCTGAATAGTTGCTATTTTCATTTTTCCAAGGGTACGATTTCTGCCAAATTTTAGCTTATATGTCTCTACGAAAGAAAACTCGAATACCATAGACAATCCAAGCTCAATTCGACCTCAAATCTTTGCTCAAGTCGCGAGCACACACGCTTAACCCTCGAGTGAAAATTTGGACGGCATGCCCTTTGTATTTAGCTATTTTCTAGCCATTTATGGCTTCATTGTTTTCCTCAACTCAACCCAGATTCACACATAAGCAATCTTAACACAATAGCCCTTCAACTAGACTCAATGTCATCCAAATACAAGGCAATTCTAGCAATACAACTATCAAAATCAAAGCTGGAACTAGTATTAAAGAAGAATAGCTAAGTAACATATTTGACATCTTCCGGCATTTTGGTCACAACTGAAGCTACACTTATCGAATGGGTCCACTTTATGGTGTTTCGAAACTAAGACAGAGGACTACATTTATTATGAAGACATGAACACCCAGTTCGTACATATTCAGGGTCAAAATGTGTAATCTCAGAGAAAATAGAAAACTGCCGGCGAAATAGGGCATTTGGCAGTCAGGGATAATTTAGTCATTTCACATACTACAGTGCTCTGATTGAGCTGAAATTTTGTAGGCAGTTAATTAACTCCATTTCCTACAACTTTCATGCTTTGACATAGACCTGATTCGGCCTCTAACATGGACGAATATATAGGTCAGAAACAGGGCAGATTCATCATTAATGCTGGAAATTTGATGATTCAATGATTAAAAATAACATTCATGTCTTGAATCACTACCCCAAGTCCCTATCCAAGCTCATCAACATCATATGCTAGATAAACAACAATAATCACAACTGAAAATTTCAAACCCTAGCTAAACATTCCACCATCTCATTCAACACTAACTAATTAACCATCATAAGCCAAGATTAAGGACTTCTATCCAAACTTTAGCAAGATTAACAAGAGAAAAGCAAGTTCAAGCATGATACCTTCCCAAAGCTCCTTGTAGGTGTGAAACAAACCACTTTCGTCCCAAACTTTCAGCACCCCAAGTCTTCCAAGCACTAAAAGGAAAGGTTAATCGGTTTGGATTGGTTGATTTCTCTCAAACCAATATGGATTCAAGGTTGGAGTTGGAGTTTTCTCTCTTGTTTTTTTCTCTCTTCAATCTTGGCCAGAAATTGCAGAAATGAAGAAGAGATGGAGTTAATTTGGTGATAAGAAGATAGGAAATTGGTTGGTCAAACAACCCTTGGATGGTTGCCAAGTGTCGCCTCAAGATTAAAGATCAAACTTTTTCTTTTTCCCCTCTTTCCTTGGTCAACATTTTCGGCCACTTAAGGGTTAAGTTAAGGGCTAATTAGATCAATTAAATACAAGGAGATTAAGGTAATAAGGTAGTGGTCAAGTGGTATATTCAATCGGTAACGAACGGTACACATCGGTTCAACCCGTTTTTCCTTATCTCGCACGTACTAGGGTTTTAACTTATGATTCACTCACTTATTATTATCACTTCTAATCACACCTTTTAGCTCATCTAAAACTCACTCTTAACCACCAAATTTAATACACACACCTCACCAATTAATCATACTACCAAAAACCCTAGTTTACGCCAACTAGGAAACTAAAGGAAAAACCCTTGATTCTATGATTGATTGCAACTATTGAGGAAGTAAATGAATAGTAAAGCTATTATAACGTAATTTATTCAACATAAAAGGGAATTTTAAGAAAATATAAAGAATTTTGCGAGTCCTTACAAAAGTTCTAAAGTCTCCATTTCATCAACACCATTCTGCAATTGTGGGTTGAGAACAAAATTAAGCATCTATTGGTGTGGTGAGAATCTGGGAAGAAGGTTCCTTAGTTGCTCTCTGTGGCCGATAAGAAATATTTGTCTATGAATATTTTTCTTTCAATGTGTTATATTAGCTAACTAATTTGTGAATTTGTAGAGACCCGAGAGATGTAGGTATTTTGAATAGGTTGATGAGCCAATCTATCCAAGAGAAAGAGTTCTTATACCTAGTTTATTGAAAAAGGTTAATAAGATCGAAAAAAATCTTGAAAGAATGCGTAAAAGGGAGAAAATTTTGATTACCATAATTGTGGTGTTGTTTGTGCTGAGTTTGAGAAGTAAAGGTAAGGGAAATGCAAAGAAAGGCAAGTTGCTGTTAACACTGGAGTGATTTTGCTAAATTTGTAGAAGAACAT